CGGTGATTACTAGACAGTCTAAAAGCTGGAGGCTCTAAGCCAATTTTCAACCAACTGTCACAGAAAGTAAGTTTCAAAATATGTTTAAACTAAACTGACAACTACAGAAAAAATGTAAAATTCTGTGAAAGGCTGGGTTATGTGAACTGACTAGGACCTTAGAAACCACATGCTAGTTAACACACAGCAATACTTCACTGCAACATTTCCACTCTCTTGTGGAGGGAATATTAAAAGAGGTAGAACAGATGCTTCCCTAAATTATGCTGATCCAAGCAGTAGGAAGACTATTCTCAGCACAGAGTGGGCAACAGAAGTAGGGTTCATCCAAAAGCTGAAAGGGACAAGAGAGGTCCTCTGGTCCAGAAGCTTTCAAGCTGGAAGAAGATCACCCAGGAAGGGTGTGGGTGTGCGTGCGTTTCCCACTGTTCTAAGTCAGACCAGCTCACTGTGACCTGTTTACATATCCGGGACCCCTACATGGCTTGAATCACTGCTACCTTCCAATCTCTTCATTTTACAAGTCAAGGACCATAGAGGTTGAGCTGGAATAAGAATGCTGCGAATGCACAGCTGAGATGCCTTTCTACCAATTACAGAAGCTGCAAGGCCTTAGGACATAAAGCATCTGCCAGTGAGAGGAGAAATTGTTTATCTGGTTCAGTTCCTCTCTGGGACAGCTCTTGATTTTAACTATGTATAAAACCTCCACATGAATCTTGGAGCAAGCTTTCTCCCTCACTCTCTCTAGTATCTCAGGTGTGTGCACTTTTGCATGTTTGTGTGTACGCATATTTTTTTTCCTCGAAGAGATGATTCATAACTTTCATTTGTTGTTTAAAAGTACCTGTGATCACCCCAAATGCTAAGAATCAATGCATCTGAGCAAAAGAATAGAAAGGAAGAAGAAACACAAAGGAGTTATTTATAACCAGGAAAACATAGGCCCTACCCTAAAACCTAGGTGCACCTCTCCTATAAACCTACTCAAGTCATACAGGTAAATGCACACAATGACAAAAACAGAAAAGCTACACTGTATCTATGAATATATAGTACTTGCTAGACTGATGAAGACAGATTTCATTATACTTCTTGGGTTTTACATATTAAAAAAAAATTATTTGAGGTTTGACATGGGATCTTCACTTTGTAAACCAATACCAAAACTCCAAAGCCCTGAATAATTTTGGGGTAGGGGATTTGTTCTGTCTCTGAATATTCCCTTTAGAAAACAGTGGTGAGTAAGAAACAGAATGACTACTGACTGAGAACAACTGCTTCTTTCAGTTTAACTACAGACTCTTCAGGGAAAACTCTCATCTTTATAACTCTGTCTATTAAGCAAACACTAAAAACTGCCTTCTGCCCTTTATGCTGATAATGTCAGGGAAGAAAGTGGCTGATGTCATACTGAAGATGGAACCAATATGCAGACCCTCATTATCCATTATGGGAAGGCTTTCCCCTTTACTTCTCCTCTAGCATGGCTAAACAGAAGACCGCAGGGGAAGATCCGATTCTGAATTATCTTCACGTGTGAACTGACTAGAGCTGGACTAGCAAGTAGTTTAAATTTGAGGAGAAAATCTGTAAAGCTAGAATGAACATAAACGACTTTAGGAAACAGCGCCATACTGTATTTTGAGATAATATTCAATATTTATCTAGAGTGTCTATTTTATAATGGGTTAAAATAGAGAATTTCCTGAGGCTGGGAGATTATAATCATCTGAGAAACGTTGAGTGGCACTTTGGTTTAATTGTAAAGAATGATATATATAAAATCATCTACCTATTCCTATCCAGCAGTCAGAGTATTATCATGGAAATTATACTTAGAGGTCAGGAAGCTAAATGACAAGAAGATAGTTGTGCCAAGAGTTTCAATGCCAAAAGGCACAAGGCCAATGTTTTTGGTGCCAAGAAGGTGCACAGACATAAATCCGGTAGTGGCACTGATATAATTATGGGCTTAGACCAGTTCTCAAAGCCAGGCCGGAAGCTGAACCACAGTCCTTATGGGAAAAGAGAGAGAGTATGAAGGTAATTAGAAGAAAAAAAGCTGAGGGAAGATATTTTACTTAAGAAAAAAAAAAAAAAACAAACTCTAAAACTCTAAATAAAACTTCAGTGTCTGCATAGGGACCTTCGTGGTCCTCAAACATGCATAAAACAAGGCCAAGGGAGGAAAAGGCCACACACGTCTTTATAAGCTCAGTTTCAGAGCTGAGCTGCACGTGCACGGCAGTGATTCCCTCCCGGGGCCTAGGGCCTGGAGGAGTCCTGAGAGTCATGTGACTTGTGAGTACCCAGAACAAGGATCTCAGGAGGGAATTTCACAAGCACAGAACATATTTTTTCTCCCTTAATTCTGCTTTCTAGTTTTTTTCTCCCTCTGCTATTGTTTAATTGTGTGGTTCAACTTTTTGAAGAATGGGAGGTACTCAGTTAGCAATGCTTGAAGAATGAGGCTCAGCTGTGATGACTGCATTATGAAAACTGGCCTCCCATATCTTTCAAACCAATTATGACTCTATTTAACACAAATCAAGGGTGAAGCATGAGGCAGGGCAGGTAGCAAGCCTTACTCCTCTGTATGGGTGCAGTATCTATGCCCAGCACACGGCAGGCACGTAACAGTGACTGAATTGAACTGGTCATTTAATCTAAATAGCTCTCGGTTCTATTTCCAAATAGGAGCCAACAGTCATGTCATTCACAGGCTTCTGAACGATCTTTTCTTGATCCTTATGATCCCAATTAGTATAAATGACTCAACAAGCAAGTCTGGCACAATATTATCCTGATAGAAGAGTGTCAGAGCTCAACACCAAGACTCTTTCAAGAGATTAACAGAGTCATGAAGAGTCCTGCAAATGCAGATTGTAAGAGGTGTGAGGACATCAAAGTACAAATGGGACCAGCAAGATGAAATTATTCCCAACTCATTCTTCACAATTTTAAGCAAAGTGCTTGGATATCATTTCTATTAAACATCTGTACAATATATTGGCCAAGATCTTTAAAATAATATTTTCTTACTACATGCCATGGAGAAGAAAAAGAAATTATATAACTAAAATAACTGGATTCCTGGGAATAAGAAGCAACTCTTAATTCTCTAAATATGTTATAATTTTACAGACTAAACTGATGCTTCTAAAGCCTACTTACTGAGTAGGTTTAAACTATATTTCAGAAAGTATATGTCAATTAACATTCAGAAATATCTATAGGATACAGATTCCTAATTTGAAGAAAACATGACAAAGATATAAAAAGCGTAACATTCCTTTATTAATAAACAGCTTCTAAAAGAATACAGTAAAAGCAAACAGCATAGTTTTAAAAAAATGCGGCTAAAAGCACAGATTCTGAGAAGTTCTTGAGAAGTCCTGATAATATTTCATCTCCCAGGAAGCAACAGCTATATGATAAATGGCCACCCCAAACCTAGTCTGACAGGCAGGTAAGATTAAATAAACGGATAGCAAAGAGTAAAATCCTTAGGCTTCACAGTGACCAGTGGGCAACAGACTGGGAATAGCCATGAATATACTTTAGATTTTAGAAAGACACAGATTTAACAACACAGACAAAGAAATGGGGATGATTCCTTGACATGAAATTCAAGACGAATTAGAGCTAAATAGTTTACAAAAGTAATTTTATGGATTAGGACTTGATAACTGAAAACAGGTATTAGTTTAGCATATTGGTAATAGAGTAAATTAGAGGGCTAGAAACAATATAATCAATACACAACCCTGGGGGAATGCTCACCTATGTGGAAAATGATGTGAGTTACTAATGAGTGGTATCTCCAATGAGATACCACTCTCCAAAGTCAGTCCTAGCAGCAGGATCAGAGACTTAAGTCTAGAGAATAAACCAGTTGCCATTGAGTTGACTCCAACTCCCGTGACCCCACGTATGTCAGAACAGAACTCTACTCCACAGTTTTCTATGGTTGAATTTTTGGAAGATCACCAGGCCTTTCTTCTGAAGTGCCTCTGGGCGGATTCAAACTCCTAATCTTTCAGTTAGCAGCCAAGCTGTTAAACCATTTGCACCCCTCAGGGACTCTGCAGAAACTGCTGCTGCTGTTGTCAGGTGCCACTGAGTAACCTCTGCCTCACAGACCCTCTGTGCAACAGAATGAAGCACTGCCCAGCCCTGTGCCAGCCTCACGATCCTTGCTGTGCTTGAGCCCATCATTGCAGCCACTGTGCCAATCCATCTCATTGAGCGACTTCGCCTTTTTTGCTGACCCTCCACTTTACCAAGCATGATATCCTACTCCAGGGAATGAAACCTTCTGACAAAGCCGGGCCATTCTCGCTTCCAAGGAACATTCTGGCTGCACTTCTTCCAGGACTGATTTGTGCGTTCTTCTGGCAGTCCCCGGTCCTTTCAGCATTCTTCGCCAACACCACAACTCAAAAGCATCAACTTTTTCGATCTTCCTTAGCACTGTCCAGCTTTCACATGCCCATGAGGCGACTGAAAATACTAGGCTTGGGTTAGACACCCTTAGTCTTCAATGTGACCTCTTTGCTCTTCAACACTTTAAAGAGACCTTTTGCAGCACATCTGCCCAATGCAATACAACGTCTGATTTCCTGACTGCTGCTTCCATGGCTATTGATTGTGGATTCAACTAATATGAAATCTTTGACAACTTTCATAGAACCCTTAAAAAAAGTAACCTTAAATGGGGGTGCAGGTAAATAATCTAATTGAAAGAGAAAATGGCAAGAAGACTGTGGACTCAAATTATGAACAACAATGATTAATAATCGTTAGCCTGACTTACAAAAACTCTGCTAACAAATGCTATCCCAGTTTGCAAACCTTGAGTCCTTGGTGAGAATTAATATATAACCTAACATTCACAAATTCTGCATAGAATAACTTCCAGGAACTTTAAAAATCAAGAACTGAGGATCAAGTCACTCTTCATTTAGCCTGAGAATATTAAGGAAAGCTGAATTTACCTGCAGCAAATGACAGCTTTGCATGACAAAGCTAAGTCCAGGAAATACTGTCGTACTCCAAAGGTTAAGGCATACTTGAGGGTCTTCCCATCAATTATAAGAGCAAAATCATTCTCTTTCCGAAGAGCATCACCAAGGGTGGTGCAGTGGTGACTGAGCGTTTCCCTTGTCGCCTGTGAAATTCAACAAAAAACACCCTTTATGATTTATTCTGACTTCTTACTATTAAGATCACTTACAGATGTTCAATAATTGCATTTGTTGATTTTTAGTACTTTGTTAAGTTTCAAATTGCTTTCACATATCTCCACTCATTTGATTCTCACCAAAGGCTCTCAAAGAAGATTGGGCAAATGTTATCAGAAAAAGTTAAGTTATTCCCTGAAGTCACACATCTGTTCCTGGCAGGGTTGGGACTAGACTGTAAGACACCCATTCCTATTATCTCCCTGCCTTCTTGGCTCCTTATTCTAACCACACAATCACGATACTGCAAACTGCTGTCATTAATTTTTTTTTTTAAACTGTACTAATTTATCAACTAGTCAAAATTGCTTAGCCATGAATCAAAGAGGAAAGTTGGGGAATATAATTTAAATAATTCATGGGTATTCTTTCAAAAGTACTCAATGCTATTGGAATTGAATTTCCAGTAACCAAGAAGAGGAAATGCAGTATCGGTAATCTCTTGCTACTTCATGAACTGGCTTCTATAACTTTAATTGTGATTTCATGATGCTGTATTTCATAGTTGGGAATGGTGACACGTGGCTTGGTTATCTTGGATCAAATAAAAAACACAATGACGTTTACTTGTACCAATGACGTTTACTTTCTGGCGTGCGTGCACGTGCACGCATGCACACACACACACAAACACACACACACTCTCTTTGGTGTCAAGGAAAGCTTTGTTCATCTCAGCTCTACAGAGGGGATGTATTTGTCTCCTTCTGTTAAGATTGCTTTCCCAGCTCTTCAAAGGGAAAAGTTTCTGGCTGTTAACTCCTCTCCTCAAGTCCTGTAGATGTTTCCTACAACCCAGTGCAAAAAACTTCCTATTTCACTGTTAGGACACTGGCCAGTGTTAGGACACTGGCCCTGAACAAGAAAATATAAGGAAGAATTTCCCTCTGACTCCATATTTTTCTGAGTACCTGCAGTTCTTTATATTAGAAATACATATTTATATAGCAAATATATATACAGTACAATACCTATGATATTTTACAGAGTAGTTTTTAATGTATTCATGGGAACCATAATTATTGCTCCAAGTGGAGAATGTGCTTATCAAATTGCAGTTATTTTTACAAAGAGGGAAGCAAAGGCATAGGTAATTAAAAGTTTATATTGGAAAAGTTTTAAAGGTGTTCTGTATTTGTATTCAAATGTGATTCTAACTACATTCTGGAATTTCAGAACATGCCTATCAAAATAATAAAACCATGCTGTACTGTGAGTCAGACCGCCCAACTTTTCCCATTGTGAAACTTACTTAACACTTCCCCTGCTCCCTGTTACACACCTAGTGACACAAAGGACCAACATATAGCAGTATTCTTTACAAAATTTTCAGTTCACACTTTACATGGGGGGGGGGGAGAAGTAGCTGTTCTAATTTATGGGTCTCACCCTCCTATTTCCTGCTGGAAATTTGTAGACTAGGCGGACTTACAAAAGGTGTGAAAATGTCAGTAAGATTCTGCAAGCAAAATTTACCAATGACAATCTATAGCATCCTGGATTGCCTCAAAAGCCAATTTACACAGATCAAATGAACAAATAAATAAAGTCACTGATGTGATGAAAAAATAATAATAAAATGAAAAAAGCAAGCCCACTGTTTGATTCAATTCTGACTTATAGTGATTCCCATTGAGTTTCCAAGGTAGTAAATCTTTATGGAAATAGATTGCCTCATCTTCCTTCCATGGAGTGGCTGGTGGGTTTGAACCACTAAATTTCTGGATTGCAGTGAAGTGCCTTAGGGACTGCACCACCAGGGCTCCTACCAGGTAATATTTAACATGTACTATACACTAGGCTAGGAGCTCTGGTAGCATAGTGCCTAAGGCACTTGACTGCTAACCAGAAGGCTGGCGGTTCAAACCCACCAGCCACTCCTCGGAAGGAAGGTTGGGCAATCCTACTCCCGTAGTGATACTGTCTCAGAAACCCAAGGAGGGGTCGCTATGAGTCGGGGCCGACTCGACGGCAAATAACAACAACAACAACATACACCAGGCACTGTTCTAAGGGTTACATTTCAATTCCAAGGGTTACATTGTAACACTTGTTATAACTCTTTGAGGAGTCTCAGGTGGTACAAAGCTCAACTGAAAGGTTGGTGGTTCAAGTATACCCACGAGCACCTTGGAGGAAAGGCCTGGTGCTTCACTTCCAAAAAAAAATCAGCCTTGAAAACTCTATGAAGCACAGTTCTACTCTGACATACATGGTATCACCATGAGTTGGAGTTGATAGCAACTAGTTATTGATAAAACCCTATACATCAGTCTCTGCTATTATGCCCCACTGTGTGGGTGAGAAAGGCAAAGCAGAGAGAGTTTAAGTCCCTTGCCCAAGAATATATGGTAACTAAGAAGTGATATCAAACTCAGAATTAAAACTCTGGGCTATCTTGTTTTTCTCTATATTATTCAGTTAAAAAAATACTTCACTAAAACTTTAGGCAGCACCAGGCATAGGGAGGTAGGGAAGGAATGCCCACACCATTCCCTCTATTGTTTTGCTAGAACCCTCATCATCTGTCCTTCATCTTGTCTTTATTGCCGCAGAGATTTTTCTTTATATAACAAATTTAAAACACAAAACATGCCACTTTTTTGTTCTAAATGTTTCTGTAACTTCCCGCTGCCTACATGGTAAAGTCCAAGTTCCTTAAAACAGCATTTAAGGCTTTCTACAAAGGCCAACCCTCCTTCACATTTCCCTCTTTCCCATCTTTCCATCTCTACATGTGCCATCATCTTAACTCCTTACCTCTCTCTAAAATGCCCTTTCCACCAGTCCAAAAACAAACAAACAAACAAACAAAAAAAAAAACAAAAAAAACAACCAAATGCATTGCTGTAGAGTCAGATCTGACTCACAACCCCACCTTGGGTTTCCAAGGCGCTATCACTATGGAAGTAGATTGCTTATCCTTCCTTCCGAGGAGTGGCTGGTGGGTTTGAACCGCTAGCCTTCTGGTTAGCAGTCGAGTACCTTAGGCACTATGCCACCAGAGCTCCCTTTCTGCCAAAGGAGTCGTTTTCCAACTCACAACAACCCCTCCTTGGGTTTCTGAGGCTGTATCTCTATGGAAGTAGATTGCCCAATCTTCCTTCTGAGGGAGTGGCTGGTGGGTTTGAACTGCCAGCCTTCTGGTTAGCAGTCTAATGTCTTAGGCACTACATCATCAGAGCTGCCTTCTAAAACCAAGTTTACCCTAGCATACCCTCCTTGCCTCACTCCACTGCTACCAAGGGTCACTTCTTCCATGCTGGCAAAGCCCTCAATTTCTTGAGGGGAAAGACCATGTCTAACCTGTTTCCCAGCAACAACATAGTGACTGCCCATCACAGACACTCAGGAAATATGTACTGACTGAGAGCACTGATCAATTCTGGTTTTATTCCAGTGGCAACATTCCACCTTCTTCCCTATTATCTCCCATGATTTTAAAGATGGGAGATGGAGTCTTCTAACTGCTTGATCCCCATTTACTAGAGAAGGAAAAAATCCATTACTTAACAGCTCTTCAAAATAAGGCACTGCACACTAAACGCTTCTGTATTTTTTAAGTGATTGCCCAAGTGACTCCTGAGTTGAAAACCTAAAATGAAATCTGAGAAGGACTTTGGGAGAACTTCAAATTTCTTTAAAGATGAGTCATAACACAAAACTGAAAGTCAAGTAAGCCTGAGAACTGCACGGATGTCCTCATTAACCAACCTGTGGGACAGAGTTCTGTCCTCCCCACCCTTCACTTTCTAAGGCCTTCTCTAACACCTTTAAATTTGTTGAAAACTCTCTTATTTGGGGCATCATTATTCCTGGGTTTCCTTGGTGATTATCACAGATCTTCAGCAAATTAAAAGGTGTCAGGAGATGTACAGAGGTAACATTTCAGAAGGTGAGGCAAAAAGTTCCCACAGTGAATTCTCCCGCCAGCCCACCTAGGGTGTAAGATAACAACAGCTGCAAAAAATTTCTTATTTTAGTTTGTAGTTTTCTTTTATAAGCAGCTCTGTTGTTCGCTGTGTGTTGCCAGTTACGAGTTATATTTTATCCTTATTTACTGCCGGGACTATTTTAAAATTCTTTTATTTATGAAAGTTTACTGCTTCTTCCTTAAGCCTGGGAGCTATACTTTATGGCCATATTGCACTGAGGCTTATCTCCTGTAGCTAGAGATAAATTTATTACTATATTAGCTGTTGCTTTGTTTTCTTTCTGGCTACTGAAGGGGGAAATGTTTAAACATTTAAACTTAGTGACTTGTGAAAGTGAAAATATATAAATGAGAAGCTAAATCAGAAAAAGGATAAAGGACAACATAATAGGAAAATAAAAGGTCTGCATGTGCCCATTCTATCCTTTTTTTTATTTGTAGTCTGAAAGAAAATAAGCATCTGTTGCTATAATCAGGGACATTCAAGGCAACTTGGGGAAATCAGTAGCAAGGGGAAAAGACCAGGGCTTGGATAGGGATCCACATAAGGGAGGAAGTCACATATCGCCCCCACCAGGACCCTATATGGACATTCTAGTCAACAATTCAACTCTAACTCTCTACAACCACAGCACTACACAGCCAAGCACTCAATAGAAGTCCTGAGGTCCTTGACTTCCCACTGTACTTTTCCTGCCTTGCAATTTCCAATTTAGTCCATAACCAATATTTCTTCTTTGTTCTTAGTGTTAACAACACAGAATGAAAAAGACTACAAACAAAAACACACCACCAAGAGGTCAGGCTCTACTATAGCCCTCTTCTCTTTTACAGGTGCTCACTGCTGCTGGTCTATACTGATATGCACGTCTTTGCTGTTTCTGTTAGCTGTCATTGAGTCAGCTCCAACTCCTGTTGACATGTATGACAGAACAAGACAGTGCCCTGTCCCATGCTATCTTCAGTCTTTGGTATGTTTGACTCCATTGTTGCAGCCATATCCTGGGGGGTTTCCCTCATTTTTGCCAACCATCTACTTTACTAATATGATATCCTTTTCTAGAGAGTGGCCTTTTCTAATACCATGTCCAAAGGTAAGAGAGCCAAAGCCTTGCTGTCTTCACTTCGAAAGAGCATTATGGTTTTATTACTTCTAAGATGGTCTTGTTTGTTCTTCTCATAGTCCACTATATGTTCGGTATGCTTTGCCAACACCACAATTCAAATATGCCAATTCTCCTTTGAACTTCCATTTTCATTGTCAAGCTTCCAGATGCATATACGGTGACTGAAAAGACTATGGCTTACGGCATGTGTACTTAGTTATCAGAGTGTCATCTTTGCTTTTTATTTTCCATATTTGGCCTCCATCACTTCAGCAAATATCTGTCTGCTTTACTGAAAACTTTATACCACAAATAATTCCCTCAATTTTAGTCTCCTTACCTCAAAACTTTCCTTTATCTACCAGTTGCCACCAGCTGCTGTTGAATTTTCAACTCACGGTGACCTCATATGTATCAGAGCAGAACTGTACTGCATGGAGTTTTCCATGGCTGATTTTTCAAAAGTAGATTGTCAGGCCTTTCTTCCAAGGTGCCTCTGGCTGGAATTGAACCTCCAACCCTACAGTTAGCAGCTGAGCACATTAACCATTTGCAGTATCCAGGGACTCCCTTACCTAATCTTTCCTAATTCTTGACCTGGGGGAAGAACTGTTTTCTTTTCTTCATCTGTGTTCTTCACACTTCCTCTTACATCTTCATTCTCCTCATTGTCGCTATTATTATTTTTTCCTTCTTTAAGTGTAGACACTAGGTGATGATTTTCTTATTCTAAAAAGAAATAAACCAAGAAATCTTCCTTTGACTCTACTTTTTATGATTCCTCTAGGAGGCACAAACATTTCCATCTTCTGTTGTTGTGTTGCTCTTATTTGCCGTCGAGTAGGACCTGACTCATAGTGACCCCTCCTTGGGTTTCTGAGGCAGTATCACTACAGAAGTAGATGGCCTAACCTTCTTTCCTAGGAGTGGCTGGTGGGTTTGAATCGCCAGCCTTCTGGTTAGCAGTCAAGTGCCTTAGCCACTATGCTACCAGAGCTCCTTTCCATCTTCTAGATCACCTAAATAGTTTCTTTATACCTACACAATGTAGCCTAATGTATACTACCTTATCTGGGTTTTTAAATCTTTTTCTCCACTCTGAAACTAAGGCCCTTTATTAAGAGATGAAATAAAACTAATAAAAACATGGCAACTGAAAGAAAAAAAACTAAATTATTAATGATAAGAGAACAACTTGTGGGAAGTTAAAATGGTTTACTCATGTAACCATTTTAAGAACAATTTTTTCTGCTGTCTGTCAAACTCCTATATAATCATGGAGATGGGATAAGAACAATAAATAACATGTTAATGAGCCCATCCATATTATAGAGGAAAAGGAGAACAAAGAGATAGTTATCATCCAACATCTGCTTCTCCTTAAAGAACATACTGTCTAGAGAATATACTTTACCACTCATCTCATGGTTTGTCATACCGTCATGGCTTGCGTGTTGCTGTGAGGCTGGAGACCATGCCACTTGTATTTCAAATGCTAGCATGGTCACCCATGGTGGGCAGGTTGATAGCCTGGGAAGAAGAATGGGGCCATCTACTTCTGAAAAAACTGGCCACTGAAAACCTTATGAATAGCAGTGAAACAGTGTCTGATATGTTGCTAGAAAACTTTATGAAGAGCCATGAAACAGTGTGTGATACAGTGCTGGAAGATGAGTCCATTAGCAGTATATAAATAAGGAACTTTCAGAAATTCAAGTTGGATTCAAAAGAGGATATAGAACAAGGTACATCTTTGCTAATGTCACATGGATCTTGGCTGAAAGCAGAGAATACCAGAAAGATGTTTACTTGTGTTTTACTGACTATGCAAAAGCTTTCAACTGTGTGGATGGTAAAAAATTATGGATGACATTGCAAAGAATGGGAATTCCAGAACACTTCATTGTATTTCTGGGGAATCTGTACATAGACCAAGAGGCAAATAGAAGGGGATACTGCATGGTTTAAAATCAGGAAGGGAGTACATCTAGGATGTATCCTTTCACCATACTTATTCAATCTGTATGCTGAGCAAATAACACAAGAAGCTGGACTACATGAAGAAGAATGCTGCATCAGGATTGGAGGAAGACTCATTTACAACCTGCGATATTCAGATGACACAACCTTGCTTGCTGAAAGTGAAGATGACTTGAAGCACTTATTTACGAAGATCATGTATATATATATAGGATTACACCTCAATAGGAAGAAAATGAAAATCCTCAAAACTGGACCAATAAGCAACATGATAATACCTGGAGAAAAGACTAAACTTGTCAAAGATTACACTTTACGTGGACCTACAATCAATACCCATGGAAACAGAGTCAAGAAATGAGATGGTGTATTGCAGTGGGAAAATCTGCTATGAAAGATCTCGTGAAAGTACAGATAAGCAAAGATGTCACTCTGAAGTCTAAGGTATTTTCAGTTGCCTCACATGTATGTGAAAGTTAGACAATGAAAAATGAAGACTGAAGAAGAACTGAGTCTTTGAATTGTATTCTTGGCAAAGAATACTGAAAAAACTATGGACTGCCAGAAGAATGAACAAATCTGCCCTAGAAGAAGTGCATCAGGAATGCTTCTTAGAAGCGAGAACAGTCAGACTCCGTCTCACTTACTTTGGTCATGTCTGAAGTGACCAGTCTCTGAAAAGGCTATCATGCTTAGTAGAGGGTCAGAGAAAAAGGGGAAGACTCTCCACAAGGTGGATTGACACCGTGGTTGCAACAATGGGCCCAAGCAGCAAGGACTGTGGGGATGGCACAGGATTGGGTAGTGTTCCATTCTGCTTGACATGGGTGACTACGGTACGGATCAGAGCTGACTCGATGGCACCTAACAACAACAACAACAATAAACAGAAAATAATAGAATGAAAGCCTACTTACTAAGTGATCAGTAACAATGAGCCAAAGCGAACTAAGTAATACTTGTTTAGTTCATAAGACACATGTTTGAAAAAAAGGCAAAAGTAACATGGTTGGCAGATAAATTAGGCCAAGTAGAATTCCTCACCAAAGATAACAAAGAAAACCTTAATGAAATCCCATGTAAATTCGTAGGGAACAGCCTAGTAAAACAGCTGACATATTCATAGGATGTCCTCCATAAAACAAAATTAAAAAGCAGCAATCTTGAAAAAATCAGAGAATAGCAGCTTGATAATTTTTTTCATAAGTAATTTTTTGCATGACCTTTGGTGAAGAAACCCTTTACAGAATCACAGAAGGTGCCCTAGACGATGACATCTGACACACTTTTGTAATGAAATAGATCGAAAGCCCTGATTTGTTTAGAAAAGTATCACAGCATGTAAGCTGTCATTTTAATTTTGGCAGAACTTTGCTTGGAACAGTCTAAAGAACCCAGGAGCCAGATGTGCGAAGAACATGTTAGGCCACCTAAGAACTATGTTTTTGATGGCCCAAAATGTAATGTTGCAGAAAGCACCTGCATAAAAACAACACTTCTCAGCTCTTAGCCTTTTTGTTTTTTCCTGATTCTGTCCAGAGGTTTACAGGACAGATAGTCTTACTTAGGAACAAGTCCAAGTAACACCCTAGAAGAGAATGTGGAAATATCCCTAAGGAAAGGAAAGGAAACAGAAAGTCTTCAGCTAGAAAACTGGTCAGCCAAGTATTCACAAACACGAGGGGAAGATCATGGATAGATAGTCCAAAATGCAACACCTCATAGTAGTGGCCTTCACACGTGATCCCTGGTAGCAGTTGTGTACTTGTAACGAAAGTAAATAACGTGTGATCACTTGTATATATCCCAATGGGCACAGTCAGCAAGGCAAACACAAACAGCAAATGTTAAAAGACTATAACGTATCCATACTTAAGGAAGGAGCTCTGGTGGCATAGTGCCTAAGGCACTTGACTGTTAACCAGAAGGCTGGCGGTTCAAATCCACCAGCCACTCCTTGGAAGGAAGGTTGGGCAATCTATTTCCATAGTGATACCGCCTTGGAAACCCAAGGAGGAGTCACTATGAGTCAGATCTGACTTGATGGCAGTGAGTTTGATTTTTATACTTAAGGAGTTCTGGTGGTGCACTGCCTAAGGTATTTGACTGCTAACCAGAAGGCTGGCAATTTAAACACAACAGCCACTCCACAGAAGGAAGACTGGGCAATCTACTTCTGCAAAGATTTACTGCCTTAGAAACCCAATGGGGGTTACTATGAGTCAGAATCGATTCGATGGCAGTAGGTTTTATATTTATTTTGTTCAGAGCACATTTTGATATTTGGATCTGAATGCAAACAAGTTCCCAACACTCGATGAAGTTATGTTATGAGGAGCATTCTGTTCCCAGAAAGGAGAAAAAAATATCAAAATTTGAAATTATAGGTTGACTTTCAGACCTAGTATCTAACAGTGTATTTCACTGTTCTTTGATATGCTCTTTTCCTTTACAACCGGACACAAAATTTATCAGCAGTGAAGTCTAATGATCATTTAATTGAAGTTAATGGATCACTTTTGATGGACCATACAACTTTTGTCAGAATGGACTTAGGCTTTTGAAGGCAGTACTTACTGCTCTATCAATAGCAGAGGTTTCTGTTTTCACTTACTTTCCACAGACAGGGCAGAATCTAACACAATGGTATAAAAAAAAAACCTTGTAAAAATCTTGCTAAACAAAGAAGGAGACTGCTGAGATAAGATAACTGGCTGGAGGCAGTGTTGTTGTTAGGTGCCGGGGAGTTGGCTCCGACTCACAGCAACCCAACGTACAACAGAACAAAACACCGCTGGTCCTGAGTCAGCCTCACAATCCTTGCTATACCTGACCCCATCGTTGCAGCCATTGTGTCAATCCATCTCGTTGAGGGCCTTCCCCTTTTTCACTGACCCTCTACTTTACCAAGCTGGAGGCAGAGCCACTGCAAAATAATTTCAGAACTTGTCAGTTGATGTGCATATGTCACCCATCAATGTAAGAGCACTTACGTCAGCGGATACTGTGCAAGCACTGAAAAAAAGCGGGATAAGAGAAAGCTGCTGCTGGCCAGTGAGGACACACACGATGCTCCTTGGCGTGGTAACACTGGACAGAAGAGGAATGACGCCACAGTGTAAGGAACTAGGGTTTCAGAAGTGGAAAACAGCCCTCATGGCTCAGAACTTAAGGTTTCCTCAATCAGGAGGATGCAGAGCAAATAAGCTAGCCAAATATTTTCACCTCCCTTGAAAAGGAAAACTTAGTCTTTTACTTTGAAAAATTTCCTTCATGATGTAAAAGGGAAAAATTAAATGGAAACAGGAAATAATGAACCATTCCAATTACTAACTTACGGCACCAAGAACTCCAAGTCACCTTTATGACACATTATGTGAAAAAGTGTCACTGATCAGTTCATTTCAAGCTTCACCAAGAAATTTTCTCATCTAGGGGTATAAATGCAATTCAACCTACCTCTTCATTCTTTTATTTTATTTGACTAATTCTAGCAGATATATAGGAGATCTGGTGGTGTAGTGGATAAGGCATTTGGCTGCTAACCAGAAGGTCAGTGGTTCAAAGCCACCAGCTCCTCCATGGAAGGAAGATGGGGCAATCTACTTCCGTAAAAATTTACAGCTCAGAAACACAATGGGGATCATCGCTATGAGTCAGATTCGACTCAATGACTGTGAGCTTCTGTCTTTCTTTTCTTTCTTTTTTTTTCCCCCTAGAAGATAACAGAATGGCTTGGGCTGAATCCTAGCTCTACCACTTACTGGCTATCTTTCCTCAGGCAGATTACATCTCTGAATCCCAGTTTTCTCATTCATAACTGTGTTAATAACTACTTTGCAGGGCAACTGTGGTGATATACTATGCTCACTCCTTTATTTGTAAGTGATGTGCCCTGTCCAGTCTTGGCACAGATTGACATCAGTAAAGACTAGTTCTTTCCCTTTTGCTGACATTAGCTGTAACAGAGGTGCCCACACATCATGAAGAATGATCTGCAAACGGCCAAATACGACACAACATTAGCGAGGACAGACCAAGTGCTAGGTTACCGAGATAATTTTAAGTTCCTTCTGAAAGCTCCTAGGACTTTTACTTACATGCTTTTGACTGCTAACACTCAAGTCATTCTACTATATAATAAGTAGGTGGAAATACGTCTTCTTTCCAATTCTAGAAAAGATAGCTTTATCACCTTATATAATTAACCTCAGATATTTCTCCTTATTTTTTACCTTTTTTTCTCCAACCTTGAAACAACTCCTAGGTTGAAAATAACTTATAAAGTTACAAACTGATTTGGAGCTTTTCTTTTAATATCTATATTTCATATGGGTCATCATACCAATATGTATGTTGGGCTTCAAGCACCCATGAAGAATATAAAATATCTTCCATGTAAAAATTATATATAAGCAAAATTATGTAAGATAACATTCCATGCAAGTGAGAGCTTTGTAGTTCATGTAAAATAAGTTACTGAGAAATTATATAGGGCTTGTTTACTTGCATGCTTTCGATAAAACAACTTTAACTTTTTTGGTACTGATGGCTTTTCAAAGCAGAGAAATAAATGATCACTTGGAAAAAACAAAACATCTTACTTTAATTTTCTAAAGGTCTACCTTTTAAAACCTACTATAAGTTAGTTTAGAGTGCCTAATAAGAGTGTATATGCATATGTGTGTGTGTGTGTGTGTGTGTGCATATATATAAAAATCTATACACATATACATACATATATACACATATGTGTGTATATATATATGTATATCTACCTATCTCTCTATATATGAATTAAACAATGCATATCTTATTAGCTGTTTTGCTGGTTTGTGACCTCAGCTCATCATTATTTAAAACATGAGGTATTTACGAATTTATGGCCAAATCATCTTTCACGCTTTCTCTACTTTTACATTCTCCAAATGTTCACACTCTAAAATTACAAATCAACAGAACATTCCAAAAACATTCTTAACAATACATTCTAAGTATGGACAATGTCAGCATGTTCTTAAAGAGTAAGTTATGACTCCCACAACAGCAACATGGATAAACAATGGAAAGCTATTTTTCTGCAACATGTTACTGATTCAGTGGAACACTGGACATTCCATATATGCCTATGCAGCACACACATCCTGCAGCTACTGCAGTTGGTAGGAAGAGAATAATTGTGTACCTGAGAGTGGAGAGAAACTACCTTTATAAACTACCTTTATATTAAACTGGTCCATTCAGAATTCACCCCAGTCAGAATCACTGGCTGAGTCTGATGAAGCTTTTGATTAAAAAGCTTTGGTGCTTTTAAATTCCTAGTTTATACCACAACATTATCATTTAAAACATATTCATAAAGAACCAAAACCATATAAGCAATTTTTTCTAAAAGAGTACAGGCACACAGAATAAGTGATTAAAAACATATGGTCTAAGATGTCCTCCAAACAGCACAATGGAAGGCAGCCAAATGAAGGCATTTAATCAATATATATTGCTAAAGATAATGGAGAGGCAAACAGACCGAAAAAAGGGGGAAAAAAAATTCCCTGCTTTGCTGATGCACAGATAAGGGATTTCCAGGGTAGGGCTGGATATGAAACACTGTGATTGAGGAAATGGTCCAATGTCCCAGTGGGACTGTGCCACCTGAAGAAGGTCACAGGTCACAAAATGGAAGCAGGTAAGAAGAGGAAGTTGTAGAACTCAGTAAATTGCTCTCAGGTCCTCGGCAGAGATTTGGGATTTGGGATTATGATGGATTCCATCAGGCAAATGACTCCTCGTGAGGCACTTCGTCTCACTGTGGGTACACTAGAGGAGGGGCAGAGATGTGTTGATATTACGTCCAAGGCAGTTTCAGCACTGGGACAGGGGCATGCAGCAAAGGAAGACAAATCCAGGCAAAGGAAGGAAGAGGGAGGCAGGGGATATAATTATACAATTTAAATAATTTTGTGAATAATTTTTTTTTTTTTTTTTTTTACCAAAGCTCTCATGGTAATTATTTTAAACCACCACTGAAAGCCTCCTGAACACTTATTTTGAGCTTGGTATTCAATATTCTCTAGTGGCAGCAGTGACTCAAATGCAGAAGGAAGCATTCTGGGAGGAACTGGGTAGGCAGACATACAGTCTCTTGCTACTCTCTTCAATTCAAGCAGGAAGAGGCTGCTCAGAATATACAACTGGTTTGCTGAAAATAAGCAAATTACTCAATCAATGGCTTGGAGATGGTAACAACTGGGGTCTCTGAGGAAACTGTTATCTGAAACACATTCTTTTTTTTTGTAGAAGCACAAAGAAAACTAATGTTGGAACCATTTTCTTAATTATTTGAATTAATTAATTTAGGAATACAGAAACATCATTATCTGTTGCCTTTTATCAGTGCAAATCCCAAATGCACACCATTTCCATGACTGTACAAATATAATGATTAAAAAAACCTTTAAGTATAATTGTTATATAAGTAAATCACAATGTAAGCCCTTTACAGAATTCCATAAACACAAAATGCCCCAAAATGACCATTTTGGGAAAGGCATCCCTCTTTCAGATGCTTTGTAGTCTTGGTGGTGATTGGGTGATGTGGTAGGGAGGTAGGAAAAGGGGGTTGATAAAACAAGTTGGAAAACTTGGGGGATGAAAAGATCATAAGGTATAGTTACTAAAAACAACAACCAACAAAACCGCTTTGGACTCAAAGCAATCTAGGTTTAAATTCAGGATCCTGGAGTCACTAGCCATGCAAACTCAAAAGTCTTTTTCTTCTGTAATTGGGACAAACAAAGCCAGTCCTGCAGCAGCAGAGACTATCTTTGGCAGACACACCCAGAGCACAGTCGGTTTCCTATGAACCACCATTGCTACGGCTGTGCTGACTCATCAAAAGGTATGGGTAGCAGAGATGCAAAGGAGTGCCAAGGCATGGCTCACTCGCTCAGAGATGCCAACAAGGTGTGGGCAGAGTGGTAAGGGGCAGACTGGTTAGGAAGGATTTGTCTGTAATTCTAGGTAGCAAAGAACTCCTGGAAGCGTGAAGATGTTCAGTGAAAAAGGAAATGAAGAATATTCAGGCACTGAGGGTTTCTCAGAACAGAAACTCTACGGATTTGTGGACAACTTCACTTAGGTTTCTGCACACAAACCAGACTCACTGAATTTTGTTTTGAAAAATGGGACACACAGACCAAACAATGGGTTTGATGGGACTTTTTCAACCACATATTTAGGTTTGTGGTAGATGCAGTCTTATATCAGGGCCAGGAGAATTGATTATTTGTTCGCTATTTTCATTTTTTGGAAATGTTTACATTTTTTAGTAACCCATGTCTTTAAAATGTAACAACGCCAGCCTTCTTCAATGGGAGCTACTTGGAGCAAGCCGCATGCTAGAAGACAGTATTTGAGCAACCTTCCTACAATGGAACATTAAAAATATAAAGTATGCTTCTGATAGGGATACATTAACACATTAAAAGTTAAATGAGGATCTGAAACAAACTTCTCAGGCCAAAAGCTGAAAAAGCCCTGCTAATGGTAAAAGAAAAATTCACAGTACCAAAGGGCCTACAATTGGCAGTGGAGGTAAACTCACTGTGGTTTAAAACCTGCCTGAACTATTTTTCAAAGCAATACAAAATGTATCGTATTAGACTCAGGGGACATATCAAAACAAAACCTGGAATAGCCCAAATTCTTTTTTTCCCTTTCCTTTTCTGGAGTCAGATCAATAACTTGCTTATTCTGGATTTCTTTCAGAGGCCATTCAACAGTGGCTGGTTCCCCAAACAGTGAGGTTTGTCTGCATAATACATATATGCCGAGCTTAAAAGGGTGCAGATGACAACTTCAGCATTTTTCTTCTGAACGTCCCGTGAGTTAAACTTGAAGCTTACATGGTGTTAGAAAGTCAAACTCAGCTAGAAAACACTAGCAATTCCATAAAGGGCTTTCTTTTACCACGGTGTTGAAAAACATATATTCCTGCACTTGTTAACCTAAAACCAAATGTGGTTAACAATTAATTTTCAGTAAAACACTTCAGTGAGGGTAAATACTGGTATCAT